GCCTGGCTGGATTGGAGGTGGCTGGAGTCGGCAGTAACAGTGCCGGTACTGCGGGGAGGGAAAGGGGTTTGAGTGTGTGTTTACTGTCAGCGATCCTGCGGTACATTTAACTGGCAGCTTTCGTGAGCTAAATGTGAAAAATTACCATGGAGTGGTAACGTTTTTATAAACTGTAAGATGACCCACAGAGGTTCCTTCCAACCCCTACTATTCTGTGATTCTGTTTGCCTGTTGCTGCAGACCATCATCTGATCATGTTGCCGGTAGCATTTTTACCTTGTGTATCTTCTTGTTTTCACAGGCTGTCCTAGACATAACATATTTTGAGGAAAACCAGCTTGTGGATGAAGATTTTCCAGAAGAATCTTCCATGCAGAAAATTAAAGAACTAATTTGCATTCTTTCAGAACCAGAAGCCCTAGTGAGGGAGTGCAATATAAATGAAGAAGTGAGTACTAACATTATTCAGCCAGAGAATTAATTATTTCATTTGTTTAAAAAAAAAAATCTGAAACAGGATAGTAGTATTTTTGATGGACAATATTTAAGATCTAGTGAAAAGTTTTCTAGTCTTTTTTTGTGTATCAATAGTAGTCCCTGAAAATATTTTTTTCAGAGAACTTACTGCGTGCTCAGAATTTTTCTGACTAACATTTCGTGATTCCAGATGCTTTCAGCAGTTTACATCCAAAGTGTTAGGCTTGTGTCTGTCACCATTCCTGTTAAGTACAGCCTCTAAAGTTAGAGACCTGATATCACACTGTTTGCATGTGTGAGTAGTGTGTATATGACTAGTTCAGATGGTTTACTTCTGGGTTAGCCCAGTTTGTTGGACTTTATTTCAGCCCATCAACATCCTTGGTGCAGAGTTGTTAGAATGTCTTTACTGGAGAAAAGGAGCCCTGCTTTACATGTATTGTCATACAGCAAAAGAAAGGAATGAATGGCTACGAGAAAACATTGCCATATTTAAAAAGGTAAAGGAGATTACAAAGTTCTATGAGCATGTGAATACGGTTTTAAAGTTTGACTCTTCTCTTTTAAAATACATATTTTTCTTTTTTTCCTTTTAAATAGGGTTTTGAAAAATTCATAGCTGGAAGTATTTCTGACTGTCATTAAATTAATCACAACTAATCTAAAAGGATCTTTTTTTCTTCATTTTTTAACTGTACTCAGTGTCTTAATGATGGAGTTCATTACTTAATGAAGATGCTTAGCTTTAGATGCCCTCATCAGCTAAATGAAGATGTCTCACTTCAAGATAAAGACACAGCTAGATTACTCAGTGAAGGTAAAAAAAAAAAAACCCAAACAACTCCAAAAATCCCACAACCCTCTCACCTTAATAACTGCTCCACTTTATGAAGTACTTTATTGCATATTTTTTTGTTTTACTTCATTTATTTTTCAAAGGTGTCACTTTTTAGAACAATAACAACAAAAACTACACGCAGCAGCAGTAGGAGGAAAGTGAACTGAGGCAATGGGTGTTTTATGCACAGCATGTGTGTTTTACAACCATCCCGTTGTCAGCTGACAAGTGTTGAAAGCACAAATACGACTGCAGAGGGTGCTAGATGTTCACATATTGATCTTCCTCTTCAGATCTAGCAGAACACAGGTACAAACACAGAATTACTGACTTCACACAGGCAGAAAGTACACGCACACAATCGATTAAATTTGGCAAAATTTTATTCTTTGTCTCCACTTTATGTAGCTTTATGTAAGTTGCATTACTGTGGTGCATTTACATGAGGATCTGAGGCTGCATCAGTGTGATGCAGGTAGGGTGGCGCAGCAGGAGGGGATTCGTAAGGTGAAACAGCTGGTGCTGATGACCTGGTGTCCACGTTGTACACACTCAAAACCAGCCCTGCTCTGGCTGTGGGGAGATGGAGCACCATCTTGCTTGGTTTCAGCTGAAAGCGGGGTTGATGCAGTTCAGCTCCGCAATGTAAAGCCAAGTTCAGTAACTGATCTCTACAGTTATTTAGCAGGATTTTTTCTTTCCAGTGAGCATGGACACATATGTGGCTTTCTGTTCGAATGCTAAAGGTGCTGCTGGTTAACCTGAGTTAAGATGATGCTCAGATAGCATCTTCTTTTAGGCTTAAATTGTGGGAGGCACAGAAGTGTTCTAAAATAAATGTGCATAGTCATATCTGTACTTAATAGATTGTAAGGAAGTACTGAAATTCTCTAAGACAAATAGGCAGACACAGTTATCAGAGTAATATTCATATGGCAATCTTAAAGATTTTAGCATTATAGAGGGGCAGAATGGGTGGAGAAATGAGCAAGGCCTTGATCCAGGTTCTCTTCTGGGCAGTGTCAGTCATCTCATGGTTAAAATTTGCTTTTTTGGTGTACCTCTTTAATAGGCTTATAGTGGCTTTTTGCATTTTTTTTCTGGTGTTACTGAAAAATAAAAATTTGAAGTTAACAAGCCACGTACTTGCTTGTAACAGAGCAATAAAATACTTGATGTAAATTATTTTTGCAGGTGTATTTAGTGACACTCACTTACTGGCAATGATGTACAGTGGAGAAATGTGCTACTGGGGTCTGCAGCACTGTGGAGAAGAGAAGCAGGAAAGCCTTGAGGCGACAGATCCTGTCTGTAGCAGTGGCCCGAGCTGCAGATCACAGAGCGTGTCGCTGGATTTCAGAGAAACGGGCAAAAACATGTTAACGAAGTATGTGGCTGTATGTGAGGGACCTTTAAAAGGCCAAGGGTGGAACACAACAGCTGCAAAACAAATGCTGCGTTGCTTCGTGAAATCACACGACTAAAATACGCTGCTTTGGCTGTGCTGGAAGAAACTTTGTGCCCGAAGAGTGCGCTTGGGGAGGTGATCCCTGCTTCGGTGTCTGACCGTTCTTCTTATTAAAATGTATACCTTTTGCTGCATTAAAAATATGCGTTTAGAGAACTCCTGGAATACAGGTCCAAAGTCTAATCAAGTCTTTCTGAAAAAAAAACAAAACTGATTGTGTCATGAGCTGGCACAGGAGGATGACTGCGTGTCCCTCCACGCCGCATCACCCGCCGGCGCCGGCGCACTCGG